GTTATGAATAATATCAATATATATATATATATATGACATATAGCGTTATGAATAATATCAATATATATATATGACATGGAGACGGATATCGTACCGACGGCAGCCCTGGGCGGGTCGAACTCGAGCATGACGTCGCCGTTTAAAGCACTCGCGGCGTTGTTCCATGTGGCTGTCCTTATGACTTGGATGGGGGCGTGGGTCTTGTCACTTACGTAGCTGATTCGAGCAAACACTGGCAGCGACGTGAGGTGCGGTAGGGGGGAGTCGTCTGATGTCGGAAGTTCTGGGGATGATTGGATGTACGAGAGGGAGAACCGATGGTTCAGGACCAGAGATATCTTGGCGTCCGATGTGGCCGAAAGGGGCAAATGCATGGGGAACACCTTCTTCGTCGTGAGCTCGGGGTATAAGACGATGCGCAGTTGTGGCGCGTCCGTGGTTTTCGTGGTCGTGGTGCCACAGCTACTGCAGTCTGTGAGAGCGAGGGATATCTACAAGAGTTCGTTTTGCATCAAGGAAAGGAAGGAGATGGATATACCCAAGCTTCGGCCAACGATGCTTTGATCATGGACGTGACGTCGGGGAGGATAAACGACAGGTGTGTTTCCGTGCCGTATGTCGCTGGGATGTCGACGGTCTTGTTGACGAGAGGGATGGTCAAGTGGATGGTCAGGAGGGTCGGAGGCCCTTTGAACCACAACCCTTGGACGGACATGCGAGTGCCTCCCTTGCTCACGGCACACGTCGGCTCGACCAGCCGAAGCCGCGGCCTCCGCTGCTTCTCCATGCCGATTTCCTAGTAACACAAGTGCGACGATTCATCCACCAATCGGACGCCGTTTCCGCATAATGGAGATTTTAACCGGACATCAACAATTGCAGAGGGTAAGCCATCCGGATAATGCTACGAGAATTGGAGAACGATCAAGCGACATTATGGACTGGACATATCCGGATATAAGTACACCAATTTTTCGTTGAAGCAGGTCTGGGTAAATTATTATCTTGATCTTTGTATTGGGAAGGGACAAGGCGAATTAAAATATATAATGTCCTTGACACTCATATATCCCTACTGACTGGTCGATCACTTATCAATTTCCATGGCCACAGAAAAGTCGGCGCTGCTTGTGCGTGGAGCCAAGCCCACGAAGGAGGAGGCGCTGGAAGCCGCCGCGACGGAAGGGGACCTGAAGAAGCTCGAGATGCAGCACTTGATCAACACCAAGGACGCGTGGACGTGGTACCGGTTGGCGTGCATGTTCCGGTTCGCGTACATGGCGTTTCTCGTGCTCATGGTGATCGTGATGTTCTCGTTCTCGACGCTGATGGAGGTGTTCTTCTCCGTGTTCCTCCCGTCGGCACAAGTCGCGCCGGGCTTTGTCGTGCGGTGCATCGTGTTCCTGGGTCTCCTGCCGTTCTTGATCATCTGGCTCTCGTACGTGTTCGAGGAGTCGTGCCGTCTCTTCATGGACACCCTCAACAGCTCGGAAGGAAGTCTCCCCAACTTCCGTCTCAGTGTCGCCGTCGTCATCCATTACATCCGCCACCACAAGCAAATGCCCGAGGACGGCGTTGGTCGCGCCATCACGTATGACCCGTACAAGGACGACAAACCCGAGGTATCACAACCACCACATACAACATCCTTCTCTTTCTGACTGTTTTCACGTCATTTGGTGCATTCGAATGGGGTTGGTTGTTTCGAGGAAGCACACGCATGATCCCACTCAAACGTACATCATCTACGACAACTAACGCAAATGCTTGTCTAGTCGACCGACCCGACGCCGCCCCCACAAGCCGTCCAAATGGAGACCGAGCACCTGATCATGCATCCCAAGCGTCGGTGGCAGCTGGCGATCCGAAAGGTCATCGCGCGCACCAACGCCGTGATCGTGTTCGGGACGACCGCGTACGACGGCCCTCCCATCGACTACAGCACGTTTGTCCTCGTCGACTTGTTGTGTCCAGTGTTGTTTGAGATCACGACCTTGACTGGGTTCATATCCGAGCTCGTGGCGACGCAATCCGTCAACGAAGCGTTCTACCGGTACCTCCGCGTGGGGTTCTTCACGATGGGGTTCTACTTGTTTGTGTGGATGGTGTGTCACTGGTACAGCAGCCGCAACAGCCGCATGCGGGAGCTCGTGGCCAACTACCACCGTACCCGTCGTGCCTTGGAGAAGAAGATCTCGATCATCATCCACGAAGAAACGTTCAAGAGCTTTTGGCTGCTGGATCTGGGATTCCGCGTAAGTCACACGGTGAAGCGCGCGGTGGAGAAGGCGCCGGCATGGTGCTGCTGCTGCTTCCAATCCGAGAAAGCCACCTCTGCCGACAATAACAACGACAACCATGGGTACCATGTCCAGCTGGAGCCGTCGGCGTTTGAACGATGGCACAAGCCCCACACAGACGCCATCTTTAACCCGTGGAAGCGCTTGTCATTGAATGGCCGCCTCGCCGCGCTCTTCCCCGCCGTGATCGTGTCGGCGTACTTGAGTCTGCTGTCATTCTACCTAGGATGGCCGCTCATGGGCTTCTTCCTCATCGTGGGCGCTCACACGATCCAGCAGCGGTTCCCCCAGATCTTTGGCGACGCCTTCCGCCACTTCGTGACCGCTTTCATCCTCGTGTCGTTTGTGTTTTTCACATCTTCATTCGTCGTCGGCACGTTCGTCACGGGCGGCGACTTTGAAGTTCTGCCGCCCCGTATCGGCCAGCCTATCCAGGTGCCCCGCGTCGAAACGTGGGGCCATATCCCGCGCTACGCCGTGTGCAATTTGAACCAGTCGGGGCTGAGTATCGTAGACTTTATCCTGCTCGCAGATGCAGCGTATGGCCGCAACACGAGTCTGCAGACGCAAATGCTGCATGAACGCTTCGATGGCACGGGTTTGCACCGGTGGAACTTTACCGACGCTAGCGACCCCCATCTGGACCACCAACAGTGGTTCCAAGTAGACTTTGCAGATATCAACACGACCGTGGTGGCGATTCGGGGCACGGCGTCGGCGGCGGACGCGCTCGAAGACATGCACTACTGGTTTGGCATCTCCATCATGCAAGCCGCCAACATCTTTGTGCCGTTCTTGAGCCAACTGCCCCAGGACTTTGTCGTGCAGTTGCTTAGTATGAACCTCCTGGAACAGGTCACGCCGCCCCCCGTCTATACCAAGCTCATGCACAAGGTCACGGACCTGCGCAATGCCGGCAAACATGTGATTCTCACGGGGCATTCGCTCGGCGGCGCCATGGCCGCCATGGTCGGCGCCAAGACGCGGACCCCCGCAGTGTCGTTTTCAGGACCTGGGTTGGTGTATACTCGGGGGAGGTTCCACTTGGATGAAGCCGACATCCGCGACTACGTCATGACGATTAAGCCCGTGACGGATATCGTCCCCCGCGTCGACGTCCTCGGCGGTATGGTGCAGGAGATCGAGTGCCGTAAAACTAACCCCCTCGCATGCCATGGGTCTTCTACCCACGCCTGTGAACTGTACATGACATGCGGAGATAAGCGGAACCGCGACTGGACCCAAGCGGCGCAATGTGCTTCGTATATGCACCAGCAACCTCAACCCACAACAACCCAACTCACAACCGAACTTTAACGGGAAAATGTATTGTTTCGGTTTGTGGCGTGGTTTCTGGTTGAAATTTAAATCGATTTGATTGGCTACCTCAGATGCGCTCAAAATTATTAGCCAATTAAAACCTTCTCAATGAAATTCAACCAATCAGATCGATTGTGGATCGGTTTGGCCTCCCCAAATTTGTATCAAATCGACAATACTCTTTCGAGGTAAATTTGGTATTTTCGGTAGATTCGACGAAATCGTCGAGCGTCATTTTACTTGAACTAACTATACTCACTGTGACAACTCCTGTCGTCCGATACAATAATGTTGATCTGTTTGTGAAATGGAGAAGCTATGGCAAATGCACCGGATACGCCTGTACTTTGATTGGTCGAATGGTTTATTTCGAAATTTTCATTGGCTACTTGTACTCCGTAGCTTCGTCGATTCGATTGGCAGCCCCAGTCCATTTGAAATCGAATTACCAATATATATTTGATATATATATACTACGACTAGTGTTATAGAGAAACACAGATTATTGGACGTCCTCGTCATCTGTTTTGTCGTTTGACCTCATGGAAGCGTGCTTTCGGCACTCGGCCAAGGATTCTAAACTGTACAGTACAGCCCGTGAAAAGAGAAAATATATTTAATTTTATACTGAAGTAGAAAGTTTGAGTTTAAATATTCAAAACGATCTCGAGAATCTGATGGATTTTGCAAACAGGAAGCAAGGAGTACATTAGCGTAAATGACCAATTTATGATCACTTTTTCAGAGTAGTCACCGTAGAATTCGCATATCTCGGCTCACAGGACGACTTTTCACATTTTGTGAAGTGATTCTTAACAACCGAACACAGAGCTTTCACTTCATAATCGAATTATTACATTTCAAGATGTACTTCTAATACAAAAAGCCGACTTTCCAAGCAAGTTTACTCTATTTTTGAGGACCAATTTATGACCACTTTTTTAACCTTGAACTGTGTATTCCTTGATGCATACAAATTGTGTCCATATATTTCCATACAAAACTGGTTGGGTTAACATTTAAATTCTATTACTCGATAAATTTTTCACCAATCGAAAATTTGAACCGCAACTTCTGTTGGCCTTGTCCAGTTCTATCGTTATTACGGCTTATTTTCCTAAAAATATCAATAAACAGTTGGAATAGCTGTCGAAAGACAAGCCATTTTTTTGTAGTCTTTGATGAAATGCACCATACTGTGTATTATAAAAGTATGCTACATCTTTTGCGGTTAATTTCAGTTCTTTTTCACTATATTTCGTTTAGCTTGCAGCATATTTCACCAGACCACCGATATATTTCGGTTAACAGCGTAAGCTTACCTCAATTTAAGGGCGGTTGAATGTTCCACTAGTGACTTGTAATAATGGTATAAAACAATAAACTTCGAAGTATATCCCAAAGAATATTCGACGAAGGCTGTTATAGTCGTCTCAGTTTTCACACTACTATTATAAGCAGCGTACGCTTGGTTTTTCATGCTCTCACACTTATGAATAGCAAATTCACTGGACATATAGGTAGTGTAATATATGAATAGTTATGCCACATTGAGCAGCGCCAAGAGTGCTGTCCAGGTAATTTGGCCAACTTGGTCTTTGTCTAGGTACATAAACACTTGGTGCAGCATATCTTTCGGTGGCAGTGCAGCCAGGCCCAGTTGATGCAATCCAGCACAGAACTCGGTGAACGAGATAGAGGTAGTCGAGTCAGCCAGACGCACCAACGCCCTACGTTTGTCTACTAACATGTTAGTCTTACTTTCACATGGATTAACTGTTAATTCACCTGGAGAAGCTAGCAGCAGCCCTTGCTTTAACTTGAGCGCCGCCGCCCGTGCTTGGATGTTGATGCCGATGCCAGGAGTGGCCTCCGCCCCCGGCTCACTCGCTTCCCCGTGCACGACCTCCACATAAATGAATAAATGAACGCTTTCTTTTATAAATGACAATGGTACTTTGATGTCCAAAATGTCATTCGTAAACGCTGTGGACTTGCCAAATGGATTGCGATTGGGTTCAGCCGCCGACAAGGCAAACCCCAGTTCCTAAGAAAGTTCGTCAGATTTACGAGGCCGTGGCTAAGCAACGTACCGAGCCACTGGTCACAGCGTGCGAGTACCGAGTTACGGTGGCCTGGTGCGGCAACGCAGCGGCATGACTCTGCAGGTTGGCCGCATCCATCGCCGCCACTTCCCCGCGCGTCTTGCCCACAATCGACGCATCAAAATCTATTCATATATGGACAAGATTAGCCGATATCTTAGCTACGAGTAGAATTCATAGTAAATCGTTGAAAAACAATATTATAAATATACTGTTGTCCTTCAAGCATTAAGTAGCTACGATAGAAATCAAACTAACGTAGTAGGTACAGTACGTAGTAACGTAGCTACGAGGTAAAATCACCCAGTGGACGTCATAACTAGGACAATACATAAGGTAGAAGATAGCATAGCTAGGAGTAGAAATCATAGTCGACTACGAGTAGGAGATAGCTACGAGTAGGAGAGTAATAGTTGCGAGCGAGGGGTACCTTTGAAACCGCCTCGGCCGCGGGGGGGCACGCGCACGACTCCATGGGCGACGTAGGCTGGGTCATAGGCCTTGTAGGATGCTTGGTTGGTGCTTTCGTGAGATACATCCTTGTCTTGACCATTGGCATAGAGGTGCTCCTTGATGGCTTTGGCTTGCGCGTGGAGCTCCTCCAGCCGCCGGCGTTCGCGGGGCCCGACGGTGGACGGCACAGCAAAGTCGGCAAACGAACTCACCTTGGACGACGCTTTGTACTCCTTGGCGTCCACGGCGTCCGAGTGCGCGATCACGCGGGGATGGGACCGCCCCATGCCTTCCTTGGGGCTCCATGGCTTGTACCTGGAACTGCCTGTGTCCCGGCGAAGCGCTTCTTCTTCCACCCAGTTGCCCATGAGTGCGCCTTGGTTGTCCACCTTGTTGTACGTCGTCATGTTCTTCTTGGACGGCGTCGACGACGTGTTGGCAACAGAGGTGCACAGGAGCGCAATCTATATTTAGAAAAACTGGTCTGGCGTGGAAAGTGCGATAAAAATAGAACAAATACTTCGAAGTAAGTGAAATTGCGAAGTACTTCGAAGTACTACGTAGTATTTCTCGTTTTGAAAAATATGTTCATCATTTTGGCCAATCAGGAACAACCCTATACCGTCGCAGGTGATGCTCAGTTGACCATGTTCGAGGCAATGGGAACGACGACGACATTGATGCTGCGAATGTTGGTTATGTCACTAACTGTAAATAGTGATATGTAGTGTCACAATTAGGTATTGTGCTTTGCACCTTTTTTGGCAATTCCAGGGTTAAATGCATTGTTTAAAATTTTCTCAGGCTTAAATAATGTCTAAAGTAACTTGAATAACGGTTGGGTGCGTTGTTTAAAGTTACTTCATCTAATGCGATGATTGGTTGGTTGTAGGTGGTTTTACTGGCACTTTCGTAAAACAAGTTGTTTGCCGTTTTCATTCTGGCAAACAACTTGCTTTACGTCAACATGTCAAGGTGCTTGACGCAATGAAACTGAAGGAGCTATGGCCAAATACATGACCTCCCATCCGTGATCACTACAGTACTAACATTATCTACTCCGAGTAATGTGTATAACGTTAGGGATATAGTCAGGCTACAGTACATGTAGTCGTCGCTCTGTCCAATGATTCAAAGCTATGCCATACCTACAATTCTTGATCTGCTCTAACCTTAGCACTGTACGTGGAAGGCAAGGGCGCACTACGACTACACGATGTATAGTACCCCCATTTCACAGCCTAATACGGTATGCATCGTGATGAACTGGTGGTTGTACGGCGTAAGTTGGCCTGGTGCTGCAGCTCGATTAGTTAGCAGCTGAAATAAAGTAAGAGTTGTTTTATTCTGCTGAAATGCAGAACTTGTGTTTAGCGTTGTTTTATCTTCAATCGGGCTTATATTATTTTAAACGTCTGGTTGTTTAACGCAGTTAAACAACGGGCAAACTACATGAAAAGCACAATAATTAATACTAGTATTCATAACGTTATTGTGCATTTCACAAGCCTTGTCAGCCATATTTCGCATTTGATCCAATTTAAGCTGTAAAAACTATATACTAGTATATAAAGAGTAGTATATGTGTGTTTTGCCCAATGCGGAGGGACTGAGCCGATTCAAAAGTTTGGATTGGCAGAAATTCGACAGGACGTAATTTGATTGGCTTAGGTGGTTCTTTACTCCATTCGATTTTGCATTTGACGTACGATATTTGATGTTGCATTAGGCTGGCGAAAGCCATTCCGACGATATTTTCAGTG